CGATGTCAGGTCACGAGGAGAGAAGCACAGTTCGCCCTCCCAAACCGATGTCTGATCACGAAGGGAGAAGCACAGTTCGCTCTCCCATAACAATGTCAGGACACGAAGGGGGAAGCACAGTTCGCTCTCCCAAACCGATGTCAGGTCACGAGGGGAGAAGCACAGTTCGCCCTCCCATACCGATGTCAGGTCATGAAGGGAGAAGCACAGTTCGCTCTCCCATACCGATATCAAGTTACGAGGGGAGAAGCACAGTTCGCCCTCCCATACCGATGTCAGGTCATGAAGAGAGAAGCACAGTTCGCTCTCCCATACCGATGTCAGGATACGAGGGCAAAATCATAGTTCGCTCTCCCATAGGGTCAGGAGGGCTTTGCTGGTCTCTGCAGTTTATTCTTCTCCATTTATAAGTCAGGTAATAATAAAGAGGGTGCAAGGTTCCTGCTAACAGGGGGGTGATCTTCCAGAGCCATAAGAATTCAAAAGGATTTTACTGAAATGAAACAGGATTTATTATCTGACTGCTTTTATAACATGCCTTTTGAAAAGCACACCTGCTCTCTTTAAATTCCGTCTTTAACACTGTCCATTGTTCTTGTGTTTCAGCCACTGTGCAGTTTCTTTGTTGCTCTATTATAAATACAAGCTTTAAAACTGGCACCAAAGCACTGCTGATCTTGATCAGATGTTCTTGCAAATAAGTAGTGTTTAGTATTAACACTTAGTGGATCATTTTCTGATCTCGCTGATCTAAATTACAGTATGTGGTTAGCTCGAGTAAAGTGTTTTTAGAATATCATTGCCCATCTTCAGAAACGGCTAACAGGATAAACAAAAAAATTTGTTTCAGTACCACCTTGAATGGCCAACTACTTCTGCATTTTCAAATTCGAAGATTGCAGATTCTTATATGGAATATCGTGAGCGTGTATTGGCGCTCTTTTGAATACTGCTATCCCCCTTTTGCAAAATCTAAAAATAAACCCCAATGAATGTATATATTTCTAAAAAGAACGGAGAAAAAGAATGAGAGAGAGAGAGGAAGAAATCTCTTACTCCAACCCATCCCCCTTTCTTGTTAATCTGTCATGTAAACTAGAAATAAAACGACTGCAGGACAGCTCTCCACTGGCTCACTTACAGTGAGCTGATTAAGAATGTTCAACCAACAGCAAAGTGCGGACCTTTCTGGTGAAAATAAATAGACTGTATGCAAATGTGTTTGTCACTTTGACAGCATGTCTCAATTAAGGTATCTCACAGCCGTTAGCTGGCTTCTCCTGGTGCTGTTATATCTGCAAGCTGACTGCATCACTGATATGCAGGGCTTGACCCTAATACACATGCATGGGTTTCTTAAATAAAAAGGAGAAAAACAAAAAGAGGCTTCACCACACTACACTAGCATAATGCTTGCAGATGTATAAAACAACTGACAAATGATAAAAGAATAGTAAAAAGGCTTCATAATCCACACCAAGATCCTTCTCCGACACCCCCCACTTTTCAAATATTAAAAAAGCATTAAAAAACAAAACCCAGACACTAGACAACTGTTATAATATTAATGAATAATAATTAAAAAACAAACAAAAGACAAACCCAAGCCTCTGCACTTCCTAGGTGTCACACAACAGGAGAGCTCTCACAGCAGCCAGTTCAATGACCTGCCAGCAAGACTGCGACAAATTAACAGAATAATCTTTACGGTTTTAAAAATCACACAGGACAAGAAAAGCAGAATCATTAGAAAGGAACTGTGCTCTCCACCTTCAGCGGTCTTAAACTATACAACGAAAGAGGCCGTGTTTAGTGAAATTTGGACAAACTGACAAGCTGGATGACAAAGCTGTCTACTGTAGGTTCAGCTCACGGATTAATCATGCTACACTTCAGAAGAGGGATATAAAACATTCTGAAATCGTAGCTCTTAATGACTGGATTGGGAGGGGGGGAGTTGTTCCTCCTCTAATTTAAACACAGAATGACTTAAAAGTTATAAAAATGGGCATAATTACTTAGAGTAGAGTAGAAGAGAATTACTAATTAAAATGACTAATTAAGGATGTTTTGGCCCTCAACGACCAAACATACTTGCTGGGAGTGGAAGTAGATGTGCATACGATTTACAGGTGTCCCCATGATTTTGACAACCAGCTGCGTCTGTGTATAAGAACAATCTTTTCAGGTTGGTGACACAAATACTGTATCTACAACTTCCTAATCTTAGGAACTGATAACCAGAGTTTCAGAGCCCACCCCCTTTAAATGCAAATATAATGTAAGTCTATGCTTTTGTTCTATTGAAAGGTGTGAAGCAAGAACTGAGATCTTTAAGAAGGCAAAATGCAAAAAAAAAGAATTATTTCAGTTTAGCTTCAACTATAATTAATTGTCATTTTCTCTCTTTGGTATATTATATTGTTTACAGTAAAAGCCAGACAGCAGACACTATGCTGCCACTTGTCAAGGGATTCATTGGCAGTCAGTGAAGTAAAGTTTTAACCTCTCAGTAAACCTTTTGGAAAGAAGAGCCTGGATTCTAAAGAAGTGACATAGCATTTCCTATCAATTACCAGTTTTTGTTCCTTAATATGATGATAATATGATAAGCTTAAACGTAAGGAAGTGAAGAGCGAAAACAGAGATGGGATTCTCATATCTTCTCTCTTGGATTACTAAGGCACATTCTTGCTCATGCCTTTCCTTACAGTGCAACAATTCCACCGTTCTCTTCACTGCGTTACCGCAGATGTAACCTGTCTCGCCAATTGCAATTCCCTCCACCCTGGCAGGGGAAGCAAGCAGACAAGATGGCAGAAAATTTCACTGACGGTTGGAGCACAGCTCTACTGAACCTCGAAGACGACGCACAGGGGTCAAACAGCCCCGTCAGCAGAACTGAGACCCTCCCGTGCTGCTGTATCAGCGCACGTTCTATGTGAACAACTTAGCAAAATTCCTTGCCATTGTAAATCATTACGTTCCATTCAGAAAGATCACAAGCAAAGAGTAACAACATCATTCCTGACTGAAATATAGCCTGGGTGATGTGCTGTACCCTCTTTTGCAGTTCAAGTAAGAAATGATTTCACCAAATCATCAGAGGGGAAAACTTAGGGAGTCTCACAAGCCTGAATTAGAATCTAGCCAGGATACCCGGGTTTAGTAACACTGATCTTGAGAATCCTTCCACAGGATCATTAATGACTACAAGTAGTCACTGCCTCAGTTTAATGTAACATCTGAATGACCATTCACCATACACTGACTGTCTCCAAAAAATAAAGATTAAGGCCCTTATGCTGACCACAAAACCCTCCGGCAAATGTAATCGCTAAGAATAACATACAGGCTTTCCCCATAAATCACACAATAGCAAAAGTATCTAAGTGGCACCCAAAATTCATCTTATTCAGGCTATATGGAGTCATACTGTACTATACTATTATCATCTCTGAATATTGAGCACAAGGCCCAGAAAGCAGAATTCGCCATCAGAAAAAGTTCCACAGAAATGAAAGACCGCCTACCTGCCCAAAGTGCACTGTGATTGGCCGGCGCTCATCGCGTTGCTTCACTTCCTTCCTGTCTGTCAGCGGGGAAGCCACGCCCCTCTGCTGTGACTCTTCTGCCGCCACCGAGTAGCCATTCTCAGCGATGTCCTGTATGGCAGGAAAAGGTGATTTGCATGGCCAGGACTGTTCTTGATTAAGGGTCAGGGGCAAAGAGGAGGTACTACGGGATAAGGCAGACTTAGAAGATTGATGTTAGGAAAAAATACACAAGGTATTGACAACACAAAGAAAACAAGAAGAGAATCAGCAAGTCAGCAGAAGTATGTTATGCTAGCAAATGTTATTTAAACTTGCTTTGAAATAAAGATTTTACACAAATCAACTGCTGAAACCTAAGGATAATAACAACCATTCAGAATGCAAATACAGTATCTAAAGAAATGATTAAAATATAAGAGGAACATTAAAAACACGATACTGAAACACAGAAATCTGCAACAAAGGATTATGGAGGCACCCACTCTGCAGTAAATGCTAATTCCTTACACTGTACATTATGCCAATAAGAAAGTGAGGTGATATTACAGAACGTTTTTAACAACACCCTCAAAGCCTTTACACAAATATAAGGTTTATTTGTATTCTATGTAGGCCACTTTATTAAACCAAGAATTCCTAGACTTGTTTAACCATCACATAGCCCAAGATTCGTGCTAATCAGGGGGAGCAGAGGTATTAGTTTGTGCCCATAATGCTATTGTGCCGTATACTCTGGTATTTCCACATTAGTGTCTGGGCCTGGCATTCCGTTGCAAATAACGAGAATAACGCTAATTTAGGAAATTATCGTGAGACATCTACATTCCCATTTCCTATTTCAGAAGGGTGTCAAAACCAGGCCTAAACTATCTACAAAGGACAACGGCACCCTAGATGAGCAGGACAGTGGCTGGCAGGCAGCTACAGCAAACTGACAGTGTGGAAGGCAGATACAGTGTAATCACTGACTGTCATGACCACCCCTTGCACAGCGGGTCTGAGCTCCTTCCACCCGGCTACCCAGGGCCAAGCGCAAAAGAACTACATTATTCTTGATGTCCATGGCTATTAACCTGCTTCATTTGCAGAACTGATTGTATATTTTCCTTATTGATATTTTATTTATTGATTTCTTAATCACACATCTATCTTATGTTCGTATCTCTCATACCGATTACACAGCTTCTCTCTTTTTTTTAAAATTGTGACTATTACATAGGCTGCTAACTTGAGTATTTCATTATACAGTATGCGTGGTAATTTCTCATTGTTGGGTTTGTGTTGTGTCTAGGACACAAAAGGAAGCAAGCAAGCAGATTAGGAATGCTGTGTCAAACAGTGATGGAACAATATAGACCATGACAAAGGATGAAAAAGAGACGGGTATCAGAGACTATAGTTAATGGAGTGAGCAGAAATGGGCATGCTCAAAGTAAGTAGCAGACAGGATCAAGAGTGCTTTGCACATGTGGCACATCATGTGTAAGAAAGATCCATTTTTAAACCATGCCAAAGTATCTTTGTTTCATTTTCTGCATGTGCTGGGGGTACTCAGCTCTCCCGTTCACTGTAAACCACCCGTAGCAGTGAATAAAATCTAAAACCTATGTTTTTTATTTAGCTCCGGATCTATGTCAGCAAATGTCTGGTCTGAACCTTTTACCTTACACATTACATATAAATGCATTAAAAGGAAACCTGTGCAAAATGGAGCTCTCTGAAAATCTCACATGCATTGAGCACTATTCCAGTACTGAAGATTCTTCTTCCACTGCAACCAAACGTTTAACAGAAGGAAAAATAAAAATATTAAAACAGTATTTCATCTTCTACACTTCCATCCCTTTAGAAATGAATAGTATGTTTCAGCAACACTAAACAAAAACCCTCCATGTTCAAGGTGGTATAATTTAGAAATCGCTAATATTAGATATTGGAATCACACATAGACACGTCAGCTTTTCAGTTCAGGTCATTAGCATAGTAACTGAAAGCTAACTGCGACTATATTTGAAGTAAAACCAAACAGCATCCAAAGTTTATAGAGTACAGAGATAGTCCATACTGCTCAAAAGAAAACTGGGGTCTTTATGTGCTTTTGTTCTTTTTGTACAGAGATATTCACCTGTAAATGAATAATATTTGGTAGCTTATCCCACACTGTTACTTCTAAATTCAAGGTACAAATGCTTATGTCAAAAGTGCAATTTAGCAAACTGCATGGATATGAACCAAGTTTAAATGGGGGGTTTTGTAATTAAATGACAAGGCATGGCATCACAAAATGATGTTAATTGCATGGAGAATGGAGACAACTCTTTTCAGTGCGTTTTATTCTGGAGCTCAGGGCATCAAGGGAAGTGGCACCAAATGGAAATATGGACGCTTTGTCCACTTGCACCTTTAGAATAACAGGAGAACTCTCAGGAAATGTGCAGATGGGTTAAAATACGAAGACAAAAATACACAGAGAAAATGAACAATACTGCAAATGGCCCCGTGTGTGGTAATATACTTGAGAGAGAAGAAAGTCAAGGCTAGCACATAACACGATTTGAGTGTGTTGGTAAGAAAGGTTTTGATCTGCTATTGAACATTATGTAATGCATTTGAGATCCTCGCATTTAATGCATCCCTATTTGTGAGAAAGAGCAAAGGAGGGGGGAAAAGTACCTTTTGCTTCAATCGATTTTTCACCTCCTTTATTCCCATTCTCGCATGGTCCTTTGCCTGTAAGCAGAAATCAGCTTTAATTTTCTCGCCCATCTAAATGAAAGAGTCCAGCAACGCCGCAACACCAGTGCTTTTTACTATACTGAGTACATCCAGTGAAAACTGTCAACCACATAATGACCAAAAACAATCCTTATGCTCCTGTTTTGCCATCATAAGGGCAGTACAATGACCTCATCAGAAGAGTAAATTGCAGAATTTAATGATCGTGCCCAGGAATAGAATAGAATAGAATAGAATAGAAAGCATCTCTGCTCCAGGAGTTTTTGTTTTACAGAATTGAGTTTTCTGAAATGTGTTTCATAAGTGGTCTTTTTTGACTGTCTCACATATGATCTGCAATTTATGTTCAGCATACTGAATGCTAACAGTACTAGGGAAAACTGTTTAAAAATACCATGCATAATCAATCCAGAATATGAATTCAAAAAAAAGTGCAAGATTTAAAAGTACAAGAGCAGACCAAAATAAACTGGTACAATACATTTTTATTCCAATTTTATGTAATTGTGAGTTGCAAGTCCAGTGGTAAAACACAATTTCTGCAATAATATACTGTAACATATGCTTTTTTTTTATATTTAATTATAAGTTGTTTGAATTTTTAACTTCCTGGAGGATGTCTAAGTGAACTGCTCATACGAAGTGTCTTGCTTGCATATTATGATTATTAACTTTAACAGTACTGCTCAAAATCTATTCATCTTTTATAGCATGGAATAAAACTTTACCATGCATTTCAGCAACCTAGAACCTTTCACTTTCCACAACATAAGGATAACAACAAATTATTGCCTATGTTGGCTGAAAAATGTCCTGTTGGAGACATTCATATCAGAGGTATACTGTCCTACAGGTAACAAAAAGAATTGATTGATATTAGGTTTTGCTCAATTTAAACCAGCAAGATAACTTTTAAAACATTTTGCTCCCAAGTAGAAGTTCTCATTTTTTTTTCTATATACAGACAGAGTACATTTAAAATTTGAAAGCTGTACTTGGCTAAGAAAAACTATTTTAATTCATTATTACTCTCATCGAGAGAAGAATCTACCAGTTAGCAGCAAACCTCATAAAGACACTTCTTCACTGTTTTTGCTGTGGAGGCTATTCAGCAGGGAATGCCTTGATGCCATAATTGGATTAATTAATTCTTAGCAGGCAGGAAAGAAATATAGATCTGTATGACCTTTTCATAGGTATAAGCATCTCGTATTCTTAAAACTACCAGAAAAGGAGAGTGAAGCCTTTGCTAATGGGTGATTGACAGTATTTCTAATAAGAAAAACTTGGCCAAAACAGACGTATCCCCAAAGCGACTGTGGTACCATTGTAAAAACCCCTGAAAAGACTGAAGCATAAGCAGTGAAACCCTGACCAAGGTTTTATTCCACATTCGGGTGGCTGGTGACCATGATGAATAAGAAACGTGTTTAGAATGTAACTCGATTAACTGGTAACGTAAATGTATTAGATTCTGTAATGAATTAAAGCACTTATGTTGTGCCGTTGCCTACCAGTTTTCTTCAAGGAGAAGCAAAATATTTGCTTTGCACATATTTTTAAATATGTGGGAGATATGGCAGAGCAGTGGCTAGCAGTGCCGTTTCGCTGTTCTGGAACCCTGGGGCCAAATTCTAGGGTGCTGTCTGTGTGGAATTTATATGTTCCCCCTGTGTTCACATGGGTTTCCTTGAGGTGCTCCAGTTTCCTCCTATCGTCCTAGCCAACTGAGAAAACTGACCATGGTGTGAGCATGTGTGTGTGTGTCTGAGTCTGTCTGCCCTGCGATGGACTGGCGTCCCTATACTGGAGAAGCAGAATAGGAAATGAATGGATGTACTGTACGGTACAGTATATTGTTAAATGTTTTAATATGTGTAGAAAAAACAAGAAGCATACTTACGAACTTGTAAACGGTTTTCATTGCTGGGTTTGCCTTAGTTTTCACTGTGTTTATTATGGCTCCGCTGCCTTTCTGTAAAGAGCAGACAGACAATTCTTTTAACTCCATTCACATTCATTTAGCAAACAATATTTTGTAGCTCAGTGTCTTAAACCATGAAAAGCCTCACCGTTTTCCACTGAGCAGGCACTCATTCATCTCTGAAACTGCCTGACGTAGCCAAAACGATGTGCTATTGGCATACCACTCAAAAAGTAAAAAGGATTTCAACAGAATGCTTTTTTTCTCTGTACTGTGGTTATCTAAGCCTTACTTGATTATTATTAAAGCAGAAAATATTATAAAGAATAGCATTTTCAGAAAACTCTACCAAATGTCAACTTGAATTATCAACATGCTTAAGCAGCAGAGGAGGAACATTATCTAGGTGCAGCCATATTGTCAGATCTCTTATGCGATAAAAGAGGTCTGCATGATTCAATATTTCAGGAAATGCTCATTATGTATTTGCTTCAATTTTATTGTACATACTGATACACTACAGGTTTTTGCTGCTAATGAGAAGTTGCTGTTGACATAATCACATGGGAAACATCTAGAAGTTAGAATAAAAACCTTAAACTAATAATAATGACTTTAAATTTACCAGCACTCAAGACAGTCTTGGTTATCTATTTTTTCCACAATACACCTGTGACTCCTTTCTGGAAAGAATGTTAACCTGTTCAGCTTTTTTACCAACAACAATGATATTAATAATATTAATAATAATAGACTCCAGACTTTGTTTTTCAATACATATTGTCACTTCTTCAATACAGACAACCTATGATGACATCCAATGAATACACAGGTAAATGTCACTATACTGATATACCAATTTAATTAAGACATACACTTCCTTAATTATGAATTTGAAATAAACATTCAATTTAACTGTAAACAGGGAGTGACAATCAGAAATGTGTGTGTGGGGGGGGGGCTGTAATTTATAACAGATATCTCACTGACCTTTACCGTTGAAAGCCATTGGTGGTATGTTTTATCACTGCCTGTGGGTTAAAAACGAGGGAAAGATGTTATGGATTAATTTAGATAAGAATGGCTTCCCTTTGTAAAGAATCTCGAGCACTGTTTAGTTTGCCATTAATTGCTCTTATCTTCTTTTCTCAAAAACAGAATAACTGCTTCACAGTCTTCTGAAAAGGTGGGTGGCTGTTTAACTTCAGATTTTTATTTCATTTCTAACAAGATTTAATCTGACATCACATAAAATGGAAAGGCCTCGATTAAAAACTTGTTAACTGCATGACGAGACCTCCTGTCTAACCCTTTATTTTCAAGCCACAGGTTTTATTCAGTTCCAATCACTTATAATGAGAGAGTATTTTACAAACTAATTAGAGAGCTACTGTTTCCAAATTCAGATTTCAAATTCTCTTTTTAGATTAGAAATACAACCCTGCAAGTGTCAAATTTTTAACTTGATAGGGACAATACCATCAATTTGCAATAAACTAAAGTCAGCAAAATGACTATGCAAATAAAGGGCACATAAATAATTAATGGTACATAATAATGATATAAGTGTGACCTGTGTGCCACAATAAAGGTCTAAAAAAATATATAACATAAGATGATGTAAGTAAGGAACTCAGTTTAGTTAATTCTGGCGATTTCTATTACAATATGCACCAGAAGCAACATGGTTTCATAAACTTGCAATAACGGAACAATGAGTAGAAAATCCATAAAAAAACACTGAAAAATAATTTTCAGTGAACAATGAATATATCACTGTAGTTAATATTACAGATATCAGTGTTATAATAGGACAATTCTACAGTTTCTGTCCAGATGCAAGTTATATTACAGTTTAGAGAGCAGAAGAATCAAGCAAACCATATAGTAACCTCTGTCCTTAGGGTGTGGATGTACACTAAGACTATATTTTTTTAAATATTGCAAAACCCATAGTTTCATAATGTTTTTTTTTAAAGATTTTATTCTATGCATTAATAAAATTCAAATAATCTTACAAAATGCAGTTTGCAATATAATCTTCTCCTTCATAACTGCAACTTAACATTTGTACTGCTGTTTTCTAATTGCAATATTATTCACATTGTTATTCACATTCACAATTCCAAGTTGAACATATCTTCCGATGCAGAAGAATAAAAACTCTTCCTACCAGCATATTCTCCCATATTAATCTCCTCTTCAAAGATGTCACTGAATCCCTTTCCAGAATTAAGCAGCTCTAGCCGTCCATCAATGAACTTGGAGGAAAAACAAATGTAAGAATGTAATTAGTACAACCAGCACATCGCTGGCAATAACTAAGCGGGGAATTCATACAAAATGAGCATTAAACAACAATCAAAATTCTTTATAATAATTATGTACATAATGACTTCACCCATGTTGTTTTACGCGATATGACTTGATTGCAAAAAATCCAGAGGACCAATATATCCACACAGTAAATATCTCTGTTTTTATGTTAAAATGGTACCTCATTTAGGATATTGTGCTCAATTTTGGTTAACCCCGATAACAATTAAATATAGATAAACTGGAGAAATGTGAGAGAAATGACACTAGATACATTCCTGGGATGAAAAGAATGTCCTAAGTTAAATGACAGACAAAAAGAACGATTTTTTTTTACTTGAACAGAAAAGAGTATGCGGGGAATGTGACTGAGGTATTTAACATCCTGAAAGGGCTTGGCCACACCAAAGCCAGAGGAGTCACGTTTTTCCCACATGGTGTGGGAATCTGAAACAAGCTACCCAGAGCTACCGTTAAAGCCAGTACCCTGGGTCAGTTCAAGAACAGCTGGATGTCCAGATCATTACACAAAGGCACATGAGCTAGATGAGACAAATAGGCTCCTATCCTCTCCTAAGTTCCTTACATTCTTTAGTAGCTACATAACACAACTTGCAGAAATGCCTTAATTTCCTCTCACAAACAGAGCCTGTAGAGTCTTACCAGAGGTGTTCTCAATATAGAGATAAGTAACTAAGAATCTGTTACTGTACTGTGTTTTAGCTCTGGAGAGCCTGTATGCTTAGCATCTTTTCTGTTGAGAATTGATCCAGATTTCTAGACAAACGCATGCAGCGATCAAACACAGCAGGTGCGATTGCGTGATACCTGAATCTTTCCCGGCAACTACGCAAAACCCCCCAACTAATTTCTTCTCGGATCTTTAATTTAGATCGTGCAGATATAATGAAATGTTACGCAGATTTCCATAGAAAACGCAGGAGATTTAATGAAAAGTTATTTTCATTGTGTGGATGTTCACCTGTTTGAACAGCTGGAGCTGAATGGCGTTCTGAAGAAACTGCCTCATGGCACTCGAACGGTGAGACACAAAAGCATCCTCATCGAATGTTATTGGTTCTTCCTTGAAGGAGAAATAAAAACACACGAGGAAAATTTGAATTTTTCTATACTTGTAAGAAGACCTTTGTTTAGAAGTTATTATTAAAATTCAGATTCACATATGCAATTGAGATATTGCTTCAAAAAATGACCAGAAAGACCACAGCACAAAGTTCCTCAATCCTGGTCCTGGAGGGTAGGTGTCTCTGCGGGTTTGCTAGGTCTCTTTGAAACCAGCCCTTGAAGAGCTGGAAAAAGTGGTTAAAATGGTCCAATTAAACCAAAAGTGTGTCTGTTCAGGGCATCATGAGCCCAGTTGGACTGAAAACCTATAGAGATGGTGGAAGTGCCTGCCCTCTAGGCAAGAGATAAGATAAGACCACTTTATTGGCCAAATACAATTTCTTGTATTAGGAATTTGTCTTTTCGCAGACCCCAGCTTGCTCTCCATGAGACACACAGACAGGGAGAGAAGCTGGGGGTCAGAGCGCAGGGTCAGACATTTATACGGCGCCCCTGGAGCAGCTGGGGTTAAGGGCCTTGCTCAGGGGCCCAATGGAGTAGGATTCCTCTGCCGGCTGCGGGATTCGAACCGGCAACCTTCCAGCCACAGAGCCACCACACTGCCCCTTTTTTTGAAGATAAGATTATGGGACTGTACCTGGGCTCCGGTGGACTTGATTTATTAATATGAAGGAGCAGAGGAGCTTGGACTCCTGTTAGAACGGTTTCTGCCTGTCGCTGTTGAGAGGCGGGTGATGCAGCATGTACGATATTTAGAGGTGGCCTGACACTTCTGGGAAGGAACCTATTCTTTCCTGCTGTGTCCAATCACAAGGCAGAGGCAGAGGCTTGATGTTGGAAATAAAAGAGCAAATCCCAGCTCCTCATTCGTCTTGCAAGAGCTACACTACACTGCAGATGATAATTGCCATAGCAAATACACTTCATGGTTAGGTTCTCAGATTTCGGATTGTACTGTTAAAATACTATAAAACAAGGGTAATTGCCCTGACTAAGCAATCACGTTTTTCTTAATTAAATCAGAGATACCTCCTAATGACAGAGTTCATCATTTTATGTCTACAGTAAAACACATTAGAAATATAACTCGAATTCCACTCCTAATTGTTAATTATGCAATGCTAACTGGTTCACTTGCGTTAGGATGATATTAAAGAAGCATGTGATAGCCCGTAGAAAATGAGATCCTTTTCTGGGCTTCACTTTACCTCCGGAGCATGAAATGACAGAACGCAAGACAACTGAAGTGACGTAGGAATGCTTGTGAGCTTGTATTTACAAAGACGACATGTCACGCATCAAAGGGTCAATTTGGAGCACATCGGTCATCTGTATGACTGGTCATTCAGGAACAGAAATCAATCTAACAACTTCTCCCATGGGAAAATGTTTATCGACGGTTTTGTTCAAACGAAGAGGGGAAAAATTAAAATAATTCAGTTTTTTGATTCATTTAACATGGAATGACACAACCATAAAAATTGTCACCGATAAAGCATTGTGCACCGCTTCAGAGAATTGTAAATAATTGTGGATGCTCCATCTTTCACAGAGCGCCACTCTTAAGTCCCTCAGACAAGTGGTAAAAGCTGATTTTCACCAACCGCGGAACTTGCACACTTATAGCCTGGAGGCGTGTTATAGAACCCCTTGATGCAACAACCTTGTGACAATAAGACAGAGGCTTTCACACCCAGTCAGGCAGGGAGCCAAGCTGGAAACAGACCTTGGCTTGCAAGAGCAAGTGTGATGAAGAGCATTTTTCACAATAATGCATCGCTGCAATATTACAGGATTGCTATTTTAGCAACGGCAGGAGCGCTAAGAGACTTTGCATTAAGGTGTAGAAGAAAGAAATATTTCAATCAGCCTGTATATACTGTAGATTTTCAAACAAATAATTGCATACAACATAGCAATTACACAGAAAGCTCCATCGGTGACCTGCAGACAAAAGCATCAACACTCAAAACCTTAAATCGCTAAATATCTCGACTCTTGCAAGAAAGAACGCATGACCAATAAATGCAGGAAAGGTATCATGGGTATTTACAATTTAGAAAACAAGATTTATTACAGTTATTAAATTTGTGAAAGACACTACTTTTGATTAGTGTTACCAATATTTAATTTTGCATTATTCTGACACGTACTGCATGTGCACCATCAAAAATAAACCTGAAAAATCATAATCCTAGCAAACCAGCATGAAACCCTCATACCTTCTTATCAAAATGTTCCTTGTTAGCAATCATAGATGCAAACAACCTAGGTATTTTGTCACACAAGTTTAGCTAGTATATCAACTCATCCATCTATCATTTCCCAGAACACATCTCCACTGCTTTTCACTTTCCTGTGAAATTGATGTGCTATAAAATATGATTAAAAGAGATTAGAAGTGGATTGAATTCATTGGTGAGTCTGAGAAATATTTACCTTTGAATTTAAGCAGATAAGCTGTGTTCCGTTTCAATTCGGTCTAAATTCTCCCTCCAAATCTGTCAAACTAAGCTTACTTAAAAATACCACACAGCCTTATCTATCACGTTTTACATACAATTACAAAAACTATCTGATTTGTTTCCAAAGAATAAAACTGGGCCGATCCATGTCTCCATGTGAACGTATATTTCATCAAGCAGAAAAGTGTCAAAACATTCCAGTTTTAAAACAGTCCACATCCAATGGACTCCAACACAGCTTTACTGTCAGACTGTTCTTATTCATGCTGGATAGTCTAAACCAGGTACAGGCAAGAGCTACAGAGTCTTATCTTGATTACTCAATTAAACTGATTATTTGAATTAGAAATCACTGCTGAATTCCAACTGAATTACAATGAGTCCACTATTTCCTTAGTTCTTCAATTGCTGTTAAATTGCAGGACAGTACAGGGGTGGAAGACCTTTAAGGAAAGTCACCATGTTACCATATAAGTGGTGTTGTTGGAAATGGTAAATTGCACTCTTCCCTCTGGACGAGAATACTCAAACCTACAGTATGCCCTAGTATAGAGACTGAGGTTAACAGTATTAAACTAAAGTGCTGACCACTGGATATGTAAAGATACTTTGGCACCGTAGGCGTACCAAAGTATAATAGTAGACGTGTTAGTCCTGATGTCCTAGCTAAATACAGCTCTGAGACTGCAGAACATGGCCTCCCTAATGTTTTCCTTTAATTCCACTGTGAAGTAATGTCTTACTTCTCTGCCTGATCTTCCGTCTTACAGGGCTATTATCCAGGTGGGTGCCGCACTCCAATGATGGATACAGTGAGACTCCTTCTATACTGTATGTGAAGCACTTGATCATTTGGAATGAAAAGTTCTGTATACAATACGTGCCAGGAATTATTAAATGATAACAGTGCTCCCAAAAACGAATGGTGCAATTAAAACTCCACAGCTTGTCAGCAAACAATAGCTATTTATAGCACAAATATGCACCCATGATCATCAGAAGCACAAGTCCTTATCTCACTCATGCAACTGCTATGAAAAATAAAATCTGATCCCAGGCTCTGTGCCAAAAAAGTGTTTATCCCATGTTTAATCATATTAAGAAACCAGGTGCTACGCACAGAGTGAAAACCAAATAATAAGAGGTTTTTTAATCTTTTCTTGACCCTAATTTTAACAAGCAAAATTGTTTCGTTTCTTGAATGCCCCCTTTTTATACGAAATTTGACATTTTTCTTAATGAATTTTTCAGCATTTGGTTGTGATCAAAGTGAAGGGTTAAAATGAGCAGAGAGAACCGTTCCGTCACCGGCCAGCCAGCGTCCGTTCCCCAGACCGAAGAAAATAAAAAACAATCACGGTACAAACTTTTACAAGCACTGCGAACACCAGGCCACCTAATTGGAGCACATGAGCATCTGCATCTGGCTGGCGGAGCTGCTGAGGCCTGGGTTAGTCGTCGTGGTGACGGTCACGTGACCAGCTCCGAGCTGGAACTCTGGGGCTTGAATCCAGATGCACTCCTAACACGCTCTGACAGGGAGCAGATGGGCAGCCCTTCACAGGGCCAGAAACTGCCAACTCTGCTCCCCTCCAGGCCATCTAACACAAAATCATTATTTTCATTATACCACCCCCCCCACCCACTGAGAGCTGCACTAGGTGTCCAGCAGTACGTGACAAAATAGTTCCTTATACCATGTTATTTGTCTAGTAATTCCCTTGGACTTCAAAGAGCAGAGTTTAGGTGAGCTGCTTTCTCTGACTAATTTGCCTGTTGCTGTTCTATGACTCCAAGTTGAAATGACCTTTTTTTCCCCATGGAAACACGGTTCAGTCTCCACCCCTATAACCGGCACTCACAACAAATACAGCGGTAACTGTCGCTTGATTGAATACGTCCATGACATTTCTCCAATCCCCATGCAATTGTTGTTTCTCAATCGGTCTCAAACATGAAAAAACATGTTGAAATTTTAAAATTTGTTGATTCACCGATATTCATTAAATTCATGATAATGTTGGTAATGTACGTGGAGACTGAAAAAAAAAATCCTCATCTTCAAAATCACGGCAACTGCTTTTGAAATGGAACTGTGTAGCTGTTTATTGTTGCTTGAGAATCACTGTTTTGCACCAAGAAATACGTGTTTGTATAAACACTAATTCTAATAACTAATGAAGTAATGATCATCAGAGGTGGAGAGTACAACCAAAGCAATAAATAAAATTTAAATTCTGTACCATCAGGCTGTCATATATGTTATAGCTACTTGTACTGTACCATAGTCTTTCAAAACAATTTCTGCACAAATAATTCTGTCTTCATATGAATCCCCTCACCCTTTTCCCTTTGGAAAACATCTGGAAAATGGAAATAAAATCAGACCAATTGACAGTCATACATGCAAATTGCTAGGCATGTTCTTCTTCATTCTTATTTATTTGATTTGTACAGATTCCGAATCCCTTTGGTATCACAGGGAAATGTTTTCCAAAGAACCCAGTGTTGCTTTTCACTGTACACAGTTGCT